TGTGTGTGGACGAAATGCTAATTTCTTTTAGAGTCAAATGCTCATTCAAAATGTATATGCCTAATAAACCGTGCAAATATGGAATAAAAGTGATGTGCCTTACTGATGCAAGAACATCTTACTTTTATAATGGTTACATCTACGCTGGTAAGAACAGTGATGGACAAACACTAACTGACTTAGAACAAAGACTTCTGAAGCCAACTCAAACCGTTATTAGACTCAAGTCAACCACTTCAGAAATCTAACCGAAATATTACAGCAGATAATTATTTTTCCTCGATAGAGTTAGTCCAGCAACTGAGCAATCGTGGATTCACGTACGTAGGGACTCTGAAAAAAAAATAAGAGAGAGATACCACCAAATTTTTTACCGGATAAAAAAAGGCAAATAGGTTCTACTTTATATGGCTTCTCTGATCAAGATAACATCACGCTTATTTCTCATGTACCAAAAAAATAAATCTGTGCTACTTGTGTCATCAATGCACTATACTAAGTCAACTGACCAAGAAACTGGTTTACCGGAGATTATTGCGTTTTACAACTCGACAAAAGGAGGAGTTGACTCCTTGGACATGAAATGTGCAAATTACACATCAGGCCGGCGAACTCGCAGATGGCATTTAGCAATTTTTTACAGGATTTTTGACATATCATCAAGTAATTCATTTATTTTGTACAATTGTTTCGAAAATAGAACTGCTATCAATAGATTTGAATTTATAAAAGATTTAGGTTTGAAGTTGATCATGCCACATATTCAGAGAAGAAGCGAAAATCCTAATTTGGATAGAGAGCTAAAGTCTCTCATCACTTCAATACTTGGAAAGCAAAAAGAATCTGACACACAGGATAATTCAAGTGATTGCCTTGAAAAAAGAACAACTTGTCGTTTATGCCCATATCATTTAAAAAGAAAAACTAAATACATGTGCCTCATTTGCAAGAAACCTATTTGCTTAGAATGTTCTAAAAAATGCTGCAAAAACTGCATCACTGGAAATTTTCCAAAATAATATCTAACTTAGTTTTTTAATCCATGTTTTTTTGTGTTTTAAGAATGTTCTAAAAATTGTTGTAAAAACCTCATTACTATAAATGGTTCAATGTGTTAACTTTTTTTAGATACATAATTATATTTTCAGTGTTTTTATTTGTGCTTTTTTAGGATTAGATACATACTTTCAAAAATAAATTTGTATATCATTAACTTGTAACCTTTTTTTCAATCTAAAACAATATGGAAGTGGGAATAGCCAACAAACTTGAAATTTTGCCTAAGCGGTAGCGTGATTCTGCTGAACCTCGCTGGTTAAGGGTTAATGGATTTTCCTCGATATACCATGAGCAAAACGTTGGCACTTTCAGAACCCTCTTAACGCACTATTTGCCGCATTTATTCAACAACTAAAGATGCTGTTACACTTAACCACGTATTTAGGTATTGCAGGTTTAAACTAAACTGTAATTTTAAGCAATTACCCTGTACAGCAACTTTCATCATTCTACCCAATCTGGTAAATAACTGGCTTCTCTGGGCATCCTTTTCCCCTTTGATATGCCTGATATTTTGCCATTTTGAATGACCAGCGTATCTTTTTATCAAATATTCACTAAAATGGTTTCTTTCAAAATCCTTAAAAAACCTAGATGGTATTTTCCACATTTTATTAGACGATTTTGGTTTAAAGCTTTTAATCACAAAATATACACTGAAAGAATGCTAACTCAGTGTAATTCAACCAGCAACACGAATGTCGCCATGTTTTCGTGGTGATAGAACAAATATGACACAGAAAGAACGCCTATATGACTTATGCCGCCATGCTTCTTACAATGACATACGGCGGTGCTATCGTGGTTGTCTACGTACTCTCTCACCACATCTGTCACTCATTGTCATCTTTAGTTTGTTGTTTTGAATGGTTTTCCTAATAACAAAAATTAACTTTGCATTAGGAAAAACAATTCAAACACCTCACGTGTATTTGTGATTGGGTTCGTTCAAGAGTGATAAATTAAACAATATAATTGGGAAAATAACTTGATTCTGGTAGAAAACGTAATGTGGTACACAATATAGTGGAATGAATAATCAGAAACCACCATGGGAGGTTCGTGAATAATAATTCCAATATACGATCGTAAGGAAACTACTAAAAAGCCATGATACCACACTCAATAAAAATACTGTGAAATCTGTATGTAAAGAGTATTTCGTTAATTTTTATGTTTAATATACTAGAACAGGGCTGTCCAACATACATCACATGTATAAATTACTCTTAAATACCGAATATGCACAATTCTTACATTAACGATAAAATACAATAATAACACAAGATTTTATAATGCGGCGCTCCAAACTGCATTTTTTTTTTTAAGTGGCCGTCGGGCCACATTGAGTTGGACAGCCCTGTACTAGAAGATTGTCAGTTTGATGCATTTGTTAATGATATTTTTGAGGACATCATGAAAATTGCAAGGCTGAAAATTTTCAAGCAGTTGTGTCAGACCTGTTTTGAAGGAGGCTTGAACATTAGGAAAATGGGCAAACTTATCCAAAAAACTATAAAGTTTTACATGAATAACATTTAGTAGATGACTTAGTCTGTCATTTGCGTGTGTCAGCCTCTGCTTGTTGTCCTGTTCCTTGAAATGAACATACAACTGTAATGGGGTCAACTCATCAAAGTGCTTCTTAACATGTAGGACATTGGGGGATCTTAACATCACTTTGTGTTGCGGTGAATTTGATACATTTTAGATTTCCTTTCTGTTAATTGACTTTTACTTACTTCTAATTGTGTAAGGCATGAACTCGAAGTGTCTGACTGCAATGTATATTTATCTTGATAATGAATCTGTACCAAGGTCTCTACCACAAAATCTGGCTTAGAATAGCAGTGATCGTGTTCAATTGTACTTACATCTGTCAAGTCTTTGGTACCTCTTTTGGCAGGCAATTTACATGGCTTGCTGCCGAAGTTGAAGGAGAACCAACAGAGCATTCTTTCAATGAAACTTGAATATCCGAATGACTAATGGGTTGACTTAGAATTTGACCATGAACATCTTTTGGAACTGCAAGACAGTTCAAACGTGAATAGGGATCCTGAAGGGAAACATGATGAGACAGTATGAACAGGCCTTCGCAAACATAGTTATCAGATTTTGTACTGGAAGCTATTCCACAGGCATTGTATCATAATTGCCTTTGACTGGATTTTTTGAGAATCGATGAAATTTCTTGGATGGGGGATATGAATGACTTAACATTCAATATATATTTATTTTGGCAATAAGGATATAGGCACTGTCGTAGATGACTTAGTCTGTCATTTGCGTATGTCAGCCTCTGCTTGTTGTTCTGTTCCTTGAAATGAACATACAACTGTAATGGGGTCAACTCATCAGAGAACAGTGCTTCCCGACATGTAGGGCATTGGGGGATGTTAACATCACTTTGTGTTGCGGTGAATTTGATACATTTTAGATTCCCTTTCTGTTAATTGACTTTTAGTTACTTCTAATTGTGTAAGGCATGAACTCGAAGTGTCTGACAGAAATGTATATTTATCTTGATAATGAGTCTGTACCACAAAATCTGGCTTAAATAGCAGTGATCGTGTTCAATTGTACTTACATCTGTCAAGTCTTTGGTACTTTTTTTGGCAGGCAATTTACATGTCTTGCTGCAGAAGTTGAAGGAGAATCACAAATGCTTGCTGAGAAACCAACAGAGCATTCCTTCAATGAAACTGCAATATCAGAATGACTAATGGGTTGACTTAGAATTAGACCATCAACATCTTTTGGAACTGCAAGACAGTTCAAACGTGAATAGGGATCCTGAAGGGAAACATGATCAGACAGTATGAACTGGCCTTCGCAAACATAAATCAAATCCAAGCGAATAACCAAAATTTCTGTGTTATGTGCCGCGGTTATAATATGGTTCAAGATGACACACGGGTTGATGACGTCAGTTACACGAATCGCTTGAACGCGTTGGTTTTAACCGCGGTTTTGTTGCAAGTTGTTTATTTTAGAAAAGCGCGTATATAATCTCTGATTATTTTTATTATCACTTAATAATCGGTGCTTTTTCGTCTACAACTGTATATGGAAAGTTTAAATAAGAAACCTTTCATAATATTCATTAGAGAAATGATTTTTTCAGATTTTTTTTTAATGATGGAACCATGGCTTTGTAGCTATGATAACTTTCAATTCTCTAAATTTTTCCGCATGTCGAAGAAAACATTTATTGATTCAGCAGAAATGATGGAAAAAGAAATTAGCAAAACCGTATACAGGTGGATATGATTTAGTGAGTTTATATGGCTATATTTTAATATTCTTGTGGTATATGGCTACACAGGATACTTTGTTAAGCATAGGAACTACATTTAAAGTGTCCCCAACAACCGTAATGAGTATAACTAATAAGGTGCTCCACTTTATGGTAAAACTGAAGTCAGCCTGTATCATTTTTCTCAAAAATGAAGCTGAAGTACAATAACAATATCCAATACCCCGCAAAATTCTAACTTGTCACATTTCAAATAATAACCAGAAATATAAAACTACTCTTGAGTTGGGTAAATACCACAATTTTGCGGTGATAACTATGACATATAACAGCTGATTCGTGACATCACGGATCTTATAACCAAACTGATAACTACACTCGCTTGAAGGGATTGGTAAATACCAACCCAAAATGGTAAATACCATTTCCATTTGGTTATCCGCTTGAATTTGATTATAGTTATCAGATTTTGTACTGGAAGCTAATCCACAGGCATTGTATCATAATTGCCTTTGACTTACATTCAATATGTATTTATTTAGACAATAAGGATATAGGCACTGTCGTGTCCATTTCCTGCTTGTTTTTGCCATAGTAGTATCAAAAAGATTTAAGTGAAGAATAATAAACGCCCTGAGCAACTTCACAATATTATCAGAATCAATGTCATGTAGGTACTCACCTGTATTTTTCTAACCCAGACCAATCTTGAAACATGGGTGACAGAAACTGGAACTGAAAATATTGAAAATAATTTCTTGAAGCACACAATTTATAAAAAATAATGTAGGCACAGACGAACCGAGTGGAGTGAGATGATTTTCTCAGGTTTTTTTTTTCAAGGTGGACATAAACGCATGCTTAATTAAGTGTTTGATGACCTACTGTAAATTCCAATAAATATCAAAAGTAAAACTGCTTTATTTCATTATCACATTTTACCTATATTAATTATTTCGGAGCAGCATTGTTCCAAACAACTCCACACGTCGAATCATTTTTAACGGTAAAGGAAAAATGGCAGCTTGATAGCCGTGAAGTTGATGAAAGACGTTTGAAAGACAAGTGACACTATCAATATTGACAGTCTTACCGGCCGTTTTTTCACCTCGAAGAACGTTGCCAGATTTCTTGTGTTGAGCCTTGTCAGGCCTCAGTTGACCTCATGTGCAGTGCAATTCAACTAACAACACCTTAAACACGAATGTCGCCAAGTTTTTGTGGTGATAGAAAAACATATGACACAGAAAGAACGCCTGCCTACTCAGAACAATTCGACGAATGACATATCCCTCCATGTTTCTTACAATGACATACGGCGGTGCTATTGTGGTTGCCTACTTTCTCACCACATCTGTCACTCATTGTCATCTTTATTTGGTTGTTTTGAATTGTTTTCCTAAAAACAAAAATCAATTTTGCAGTAGGAAAACAATTCAAACACCTCACGTGTATTTGTGATTGGGTTCGTTCAAGAGTGCTAAATTAAACAATATAATTGGGAAAATAACTTGATTCTGGTAGAAAACGTAATGTGGTACACAATATAGTGGAATGAATAATCAGAAACCCCCATGGGAGGTTTGTGAATAATAATTCCAATATACGATCATAAGGAGACTACTAAAAACCCATGATACCACACTCAACAAAAATTCAATAAAAATATTGTGAAATCTGTATTTCGTTAATCAAACATAACATTATACTTCTAAGTAAATATTAATTTGCCAAATTTAGCCTAAATACGAGGGTGGTTCAAATATTATCGAGACAAATGGTCTGACACGTTTATTTATTATCGAAAAAATGTACAAAAATTTACAGCTTTTCTAGGGATGTTCCCTCACTAGTTACGCATTTTTTCCACCTTTCCGGAAGCTTTTTGATGCTGGTATTGAAGAATTCCTTGGGCAACTCGGACAGTGATGTGCACACGAACTCTTATACCTCGTCGTCGGTGTTGAATCTTTGACCTCCGAGGGCTTATGTCAGTGATCCTAACATGTAGTAGTCGCAGGGTGATAAATCCGGACTGTAGGGGGGGTGTTCCAGTACCTCCCACCCCAATTTCGATATTGTATCGAGAGTGAGACGCCCAGCATGAGGGCGCGCGATCTCCTGGAGAAGAATCGCACTTCTTGCTGGAATGCTTCTCCATTTCAAGCGATAAGCGGGTTTCATCTGTGTTTTTAGAAGGTTAGAATAGTATGCAGCATTGAAGGAACGTTGGGTACGCAGGAAGTCGACGTACAGCACGGCGAATGCAGTCTGGTGTGATGCTGGTTCGCTGTCGACGATCATGCGGCTCATTCTCGACGTATCCTTGAACGCAATGGCCCATTTAAACACAGCAGCCCTACTCAGGCACTCAATACAGAACTGATTTCGCAAACGCAGAAAAAATTCCGTGTTTTTAACGCCCTCCCACACTAAGAAAACGAATGACAATACGTTGCGCAACGGCGGTCGGCACTTGATCTTCACTCATGGTCCTTAGCACGCGCGTGAAACATGCGCTTATAACGAAAGCTGTGCCACACTGTTCGTAAGGTACGCAGCTATTATATACTCAAGCCACGACCTTCAAGACATACATGCGCGCCACCTACTGCATTTGTCCCCATCATATCTGAACCGCTCTCGTAGTAATGAAAACAAACATTTATTTTACATAGTACAGGCCATTATATAGTAATTTAATAACATAGAATTCTAAAAAATAAAACACAATTCTATCACAATCTGGTAAAAATGTCCTGGTCAGGTATGACCGAGCCGGGTTTGTGATGGTTCATCCATGGAGGTACATGAAATAATTGAAAAACCAGCAGCAAATATTCGAAAATGATTTACCTGGTGGCATTTAACTTTTTCATTTTCCTTGAATGACCATCAGACGTTTCAAGAGGTCTTTTCAAAAAAATGTTTAATATACTTAAAGATTGTCAGTCTGATGCATTTGTTAATGATATTTTCCAGGACATCATGAACATTGCAAGGCTGAAAATCTTCAAGCAGTTTTGTCAAACTTTTTTAATTTATTTTTTTATATATATCGAAGCAGCCCAGCCGCGCAGGCAGAAGCCTAAATGCCGGAACACCGCGGCTGCTATGATGATCCCAAAGAAATTTTATTAATACGATTTTTGAACTGCCTAAGGTTAATAGAACTGTTAAAAGCTTCCTCTTGTAGATTGTTCCACAATCTCGACACCCTCGGGACAAAGGAGAGGTCGTATCGGCCGGTTCTGGATGTACGAAGTTCGACACGGTTAGGATGGGACGCCAAAGTTAGGCGGGTCTGTCTGGCAGGCACATCGCGCGACGGCATCATGGAAGAGAGCTCTGAGGAGCAAAGCCCGGTGGTGTAACGGTAGAAAAGAGCCAGATCGCCGACAGCCCGCCGGTGCGAAAGAGTCCCGAGACTGTCTGTTAGAGAAGAGTCATCGATCAGTCGGACCGCCCTCCTCTGGACAGTATCGAGCATGGATAATGTACTCGGGGCGGCAGCACCCCAAACGTGCGAGCAATACTCGAGGCTAGGCCTTATCTGGGCCTTATATAGAGTGAGAAGGTCATGCGGAGAAAAGTACTTCTTAGCCCTAAACAAATAGCCTAGATTTTTCCCAGCAGCTGCAGCTATTGACGAGACGTGTTCCTGCCAAGTTAACATCATCGGTGATCTGGACTCCGACCAGCCGAAATGAATGGCTCTTTGGCAGAACTCGACCATCCATCGAAACCGGGTGAGCGCAGGTACGCTTTTTGTTCGTCAAAGTACAGTACTGCGTTTTGGAAGCATTGAACTGTACAAGATTGTTGCGTCCCCAAGCAGTGATAGCCTCCAGGTCTCTTGTCAGAGAGGAAGTCATCGCTAGTCTTCTTTTTCCCAACTCAGCGGCAGAGATCGGCTTGTCACTCTGAATTCCTGCATGTAGAGTGCTGTCATCAGCGAAGCTGTGGATTGGGTAGATCGTTCATGAAAGGAGGTCGTTGATATGTAAGAGAAACAGTGTCAGAGCCAATACCGATCCCTGGGGAACACCCGCGTTGACGTTGTGGGATGAAAAGGAGAACCCGTCAATTACGACGGATATCTTGCGGCCAGAGATTAAGTCAGCCACCCATCTGCAAATCTTTTCTGGGAGGCCATAGGATGGAAGTTTACTTAAGAGGGCAGCGTGCCACAGCTGATCGAACGCTTTCGTGATGTCAAGAGCAACGACATGAGCCTGACCATAAGACTGGATGAGTTTACTCCACAATTGAGTGACGTAAGCTAGGAGGTCCCCTGTGGATCGTTGGTGCCGGAAACCATACTGCCTGTCGCTAATCAAGCCGTGACGTTCGAGGTAGTCCAGAAGCTCGCGATTTATGCACCCCTCCATCACCTTACTTAAAACAGAAAGCAGAGCTATAGGCCTGTAGTTGTAAGGGTCGGTCTTAGATCCTTTTTTTGGGATGGGTTGGACATGAGCAAATTTCCAGTTTGCTGGGAAGGTGCCGGATTCATAAGATATCTGGAACAGACGCGAAAGAACTGGAGCAAGCTCCGGTGCACACCTCTTCAGTACAATGGCAGGAATCAAGTCCGGACCAGAAGCTTTGTCGATGTCGAGCGACAAGAGCGCTCGTCTTACGGTCTTATGCCTGAATGTTACCTCCCGCATAGTGTAGGGAACCCTTTGAATTGACGGCACTTGGGCGTTGGGGGGGACGTCCATGGTAGAGTTGGCAGCAAAGATCTTGGCTAGCACTTCCGCATTGGCCTTTGAGTTGAATACAATAGTTCCATCCTGACACGTAAGTGGTGGAAGGCTACTGTGAGACAAGTTCTTTTCAATCTGCTTGGCCAGCGTCCAGAAAGACCGACTGCCACTGCGCTGCGACATTACCCTGTGCCTAACTTTTATATCATGCTGGTTTTTGGCATTGCGAACCGCTGCTTTATATGTGTTTCTGGTCTCAACGTGGGCTTGTCTGTTCTCTACAGTGGGGTTTTGTAAGAAGCTTCTGTGTGCCTTGATCTTCTGCTGGCGAGCAGCGTCACACGATTTGTTAAACCAGCCGTTGGACCCTGGTCTAGGCACTTTCACTGTGTGAGGGATGTATTCCTCCATTCCGACGTGGATAATTTCGGTTATCGAAGAACAGACAGCCGACGTATCCGCGTCGGTGAAACAACATCTTTCCAAGGAAAGCTAGAGAAGAAATCTCTGAGCCCCTCCCAGTCGGCATGTCCGTAATGCCAAGTTTTGCGGCCTGTACGAGTTTCTGCTGCCACAGCGGGTTCTGACCGAAACCTAACCTCCACAACACCGTGGTCTGAGTTACCCAGGGGGGACAGGACAGCAGCGCTGTAAGGGGCAGGATGCGTGGTCAGAAAGAGATCCAGCAGGCTACTGGCGTGTGACGAGACGCGGGGGGAAAAAGTAGGAGTCGTCACCAGCTGAGTCAGCCCTTGGGTAAGAGCGAACGCTTCGACTGCACGACCTGCTGCGTCGGTCTTGTTTGAGCCCAACCAAAGCTCGTTATGGGCATTGAAATCACCGAGAAGAACTACCTCGGAAGCGGGATGATTGATGTTCAGGAAGTCGATCTGGACGGCGAGGTATTCGAGTAGGTCAACCCAGTTATGGTCCGAGGGAGAGCGATAAAGGCAGCAAATAAACTTGGGTGATGTTTTGGAGTTGAGGCGAAGCCACAGAATGTCCTTCCGGTCTGATTCCAAAGAAACATCTCTGGAGCAGGAAAGACTGCTGCGGACAAAAGCCACAACTCCCCCGTTCTTTCTCAGATTGGAGTGCACCTCGTAGTTTGGGAAGTTAAGATGGTTAATCGGTGCAGACTCTGAGATTTTTGTCTCCGCCAAGAAAAGCACGGCGGGACGATTGGATTGCAGGTAGTGATGAACAGCAACAATGTTGCTGTGAATCCCGCAGATGTTCGAAAAACAAATTTTATCTTCGATGTTGTTCCCTCGAGCCCACCCTCCACCCGGACATTCCGAGAGTGGAGGTAGTTTACGTCCGGAGTTCTTGGTGCTCCAGGGATCCATCATCATTAATTTCTTTGTTTTGGAGGATAACCGACTGCATAGCTGGGAGGTGTGAAAACATGCGGACATTTATAAGACACCCTGGGAAAAGCTAGCGTGTGGTACTGCCTCGGTCGGCTGGTCCTTGTCTA